TTAGTTTTAAAACCTTTTTAATATTGTGCAATAACTTGCAGTAATAAATGCTTTAAATTAGAAAGATATAGTTATATAACTATATTATAGTTTTATAGCTTATTGCGTTTTTGTACAAAGGTAATATCCATTTTATAATGAATAAATTTGAAATTTTAAAATGAATTTTTTTAGATAAATTTCTAGACGTAAGATTTTAATGTATATTTTTCAACAAATTGCGTATCGTATATTTAAAAATGATGAAATTACTGATCATCATAAAAAGTCCAACATTAAAAATGGCTAAAATTATATTCTAATACTACTTTTTTATATAAGTACCATCAATGAACGTATTTGCATATTACCTTTTGATATAGACCACATGTGGAACATATTATGTTTATTATTATCTCAATTCCATATTTAAAAAAAAATAGAACTAATACACAATTCTCTTTTCTTTAGTTACAAAATGAAAGTGACCATTTTTAGAATACGTGATACTTCTGACTTCATAAACGTGTAAGATTTGAAATGTAACAGGCAACTTTTCCCATGTTGCTGATTTTTTTAGCAAAAGTAGGATTTACAATACCCAGAGGAAAACTTAGGTAAATATTATTTTTTCGTAAGTAGAATGTTTAATCTATCTAGTAATTATTTTAAAAATATTTATAAATGTATGTATAAAACAATTTAAATTTGTTTTAAATCATTTTAAATGTCGTGGGTAAAGTGCAGAAATTATAACAACCATAATTATTTTTAGTTGGCCGAAATTAAGATTTTAATGCATAAATTTCTTTAAGGTGTAGTATCTCCTCAATAAAACTAATGACTGACTGACAAAATTTTTGTAAGCATATAGTTGTCAAATGCAGCATTGCCAGACGTATTGGAACATTGTCTTCAAAAATGAACCACACAACCACAACTTAATTTTATTTTTTTTAATGATCAGAAATTGGTAACCATAGATTTAGGAAGAACAGATATCACATTATGCATTTTAACCCGATCAAACATTCGGAGATTGACTACGTACTGTAAAAATCAACTGAGATAGAGAAGGCGACATTGCCACATATCAAATTTGCGCCTATCTACTAAGTTTGATTTGCAGAAAAGGTGACTTTAAAACCTTCACCGGATATCAATAAATCTCAATTTCTTAATTAAATTAATAGTTTATTTTTAAAGAAGCATGCGTAATAATATGTTATTAACCAGAGGATATATGCGTTACTATTAAAAGACATGTTTACTGTTTAATGTGCTGAAACGTCTAGAACTATTGGCAACGTCGCTGCTAGTCTTCCCGAATGAAATGAGCCGTCCGTCCCACATGCGTCCCACCACCCCTCGCGACGGCCCTCTGCCCATGGTCAGCGTACTACGTTTAGCTTACGGTGTGTTTGAAGTCGGAATCAACTCCGAAGTGAACTTTTCAGTGTTTTTTAATAGTTTTTGTTTTTGTTTAATGTACTTTTGAATCTGCGAATTTTCAATATGGTACGACAGTGTCAAATGTGTGGACAAATAAGCTCAAATTACCGGAATTTGTCTTTTCACAGGTAGGTATTGTTTCCGCCGCGCCGTAATCGTACATAGGCGTCCCATAAGGGAGCCTCTCACAATTAAAATAATTTCTAATTATATTTGTTGAATTTTGATCTATTAAAACAAGAACGTAGTAGCCGGTAATTGAATTATAATTCGTCTCAATTACTACCTAACTGTTGTAGATCATAACAAATTTGAATATAAACGTTACATTTGAAACTTTATTATAAGCCAGAAAGTGACATTTTTTTCTTAAAATTGCGTCCTATTTTGGTCATTATATACGATATTCTAAAGGAATTTTGCTCAATAAATAAACAAAGGAGTTTACCCGACCTTTTTTACATTTTATTGCTTTATTATATCTGCCCCTTCGGCCTTGTTCAGACAATTTTTTACCACCGTACAAATACATCTTCCTAGAGTTATTTGTACGGTGTGTTTAACTTTTTTTAGAATGGGACGAACTGTAAAAAATTCTTAGGTTACTAGTTTTATACATACCTATATAAAGAGCGACCCATGCCTCCAAAAAACATTTTACCTATTAGGTTTTTGGTTTGTGATTTTTATTTCAATTTTTTACATAAGATGGGAGCCATTGTAACGCACATTTTCAAAATATATTTGTCAACATACAGGGTGATTCACCGCAATACATATGCTTAATACAGTTCATGAAGATTAGGACATTTAACTAAAATTTAATTATCTGATGAAGCTACCTTTAAAAGTAATGGATTTGTAAATAAACGTAATAGGTATTCATTATTATGCGACAGAAATCCCATACTGTAGCACACAGATTTTATACTTTTAATGAGACTAAAAGGCAATTGCCTCGTATCAGAGCCATCATAATACAAGAAGAAGACCGAAAGTCAAATCTTGTCTTATATTTTCAAAAAAAAAACACAATTTTCTCATTAAATATTGATTTTAGGTATAGGAAGCTATTAATAATACAAGATTACAACTATTACACAGTACTTCACAGGAAGCTATCGATTGCGAACTAACTAAATCGTTACTAATTAGGTACTAATTTTGAAAAGTTCTTTTTAAGATAAAAAAAGGTAAAACTAAAACCTAAACTATCATTTGAGATTAAACGGGAGGTTCTAAATAATGTTGCCTATTCTAAACAAGAAAAATTTATTTATAAGTTACGTTTTATAACATTCCTAATTAAATTTGGGCGAAAAGAATATTTCTGTTTTCTGTAGGTAATTTTCTCAGGGAAAATACGTAAATAAAAATGACTTTTTAAGTCAAAAAAAGTCAAAAGGACTGTCCTTTTCAAAAAAGGACAAGTGGCAACCCTAGGTATTTCTGGAATGAAAATTTAATGGCAAATCTACAACTTTGGTTTGAAAATATGTACTGGCCACCTATGTTTACAAAAATGTCTAATATGTGCCTAAATGCCTCCATATTCTGAAACAAAAATTGAAAGAAAAGTCACCAACCACAAACCTAATATAGAACTGTTTCGGAAGCCTGAGTCATCCTGTAAATATTCAAAAGTAACTGAAAGTTTATATAGAAGTAACTGAAAGTTTAAATTGAAAATCGACGTTGGAGTGATTTTTGAAAACTACTAACGTTTCAACATAAGTATATGTAGGATATTAATTGTATTATTATATTAGACCTTATAACAAAACTCATCTGGCAAAAAAGTGTTAATGTAGTATATTAATATGGAGTAAAAATTTTACTAATTACTTTACTAATTAAATTCGTTCCAAAAAACGATTGATACGTCACTGGCCATTAGAACATTCCCAAATGCGCCTAGTTGCCGGGGTCGGAAATTTTAGACTTCTCTGTCTCTTCTGTCCTTGTTTGACACATTGGAATGTTTGATACACTACCAACGAGTATTTATGAATGAGATGTTCGGTCTATCTTTATAATGTCTTTGTTGGTAACACTTTATCCGTTTTGTTGGCTAAATTTTCGAAGTGAAATATTGTAAAGACGTTGATATGTGATATATTGTATCCATAATCATTTTTAGTTGGTTGATATTAAGATTTTATTGGCATAAATTTTTTTAAGGTGCAGTATCTTAACCAACTAACCTAACCTAACCTAACCCAACTGTTTTAAATGTCGTGGGTAAAGTGCAGAAATTATAACAATTTAAAGACCGGTTTCAAGTTACTTATGCTAATTTTGGCAAATAGTATAGATTTATTAATGAACTTACTTTGTGCTGTCCGAAGTCTAACCTTTAAGTCAGCAATATTACTACTTCTACCTTTTTAGAAAAGGGCACAATCACATAGTCCTAGATGCCGGATCGAATGCAGCATTGCCCGACCGACGTATTGGAACATTGTCTTCAAAAATGAACCACACAAACACAACTTAATTTTACTTTCATTAATGATCAAAAATTGGCAACAGTTTATCCGTTTTGTTGGCTAAATTTTCGAAGTGAAATATTGTAAAGGCGTTGATATGTAATATATTATATCCATAATCATTTTTAGTTGGCTTAAATTAAGATTTTAATGCATACATTTTTTAAGGTGTAGTATTTTCTCAATAAAACTAATGACTGACTAACAAAATTTTTGTAAGCATATAGTTGTCAACTGTCTTCTTCTTCTATTATGATATATTCTAAAATCCCAAATATAACTATTACTTAAATCTCTGTTAAAAATATTACAGCATAGTTTCACCATTATGCTAGAAATTTTAGTTTTAAAACCTTTTTAATATTGTGCAATAACTAACGCTAATAAATGCCGTAGATTAGAAAGATATAGTTATATTGTTATTTAGCTAATTGCGTATTTGTCCAAAGGTAATATCTATTTTATAATTAATAAATTTGAAATTTGAAAATGAACTTAACATTCTTTTAGATTAATTTCTAGATGTAAGATTTTAGTGTATATTTTCCAACAAATTGCGTATCGTATATTTAAAATGATGAAATTTTGAACATCATCAAAAGTCCAACATTAAAAATGGCTAAAATTCAATTCAAATGTGGTACAAGTTATGTTTATTGTTATCTCAATTACATATTTAAAAAAATAGAGCTAGTAGACAATTCTCTTTTCCTTAGTTACAAAATGAAAGCGACCACTTTTAGCATACATGATACTTTGGACTCCATAAATGTGTAAGATTTGAAATGTAACAGGCAAATTTTGCCATGTTGCTGATTTTTTTTTGCAAAAGTAGAATTTACAATACCCAGAGGAAAACTTAGTTAAATATTATTTTGTCGTAAGTAGAATTTCAAATCTATATAGAAATTATTTTAAAAATATTTATAAATGTATGTATAAAACGTAAAACAATTTAAATTTCTTTTAAACCATTTTAAATGTCTGGCGTAAAGTGCAGAAATTATAACAATTTAATAACCAGTTTCAAGTTACTTGTGCTAATTTTGGTAAATAGTATAGATTTGTTAATAAACTTACTTTGTGCTGTCCGAAGTCTAACCTTAAAATCAGCAATACTACTACTTCTACCTTTTTAGAAAAGGGTACAATCACATAGTCCTAGATGCCGGATCGAATGCAGCATTGCCCGACGTATTGGAACATTGTCTCTCAAAAATGGACCACACAAATACGACTTGGTTTTTCTTTTTTGTTCGGTGGGACGCGGCCAGAAACGGGTGTTGCTCGCTTTTCGGTCTCGCACTGAAGAAGGCTCGGCGTCGTGGCGCACCGTATCGACCGATAGGACACTTGGCGCGCGTTTACCCTACGGCTGTAGAGTCTGTTGCGTGGGACCTGTCTGGACTAAAGCAAAGAAACTAACTGCCGGCGTTCTAGGAAAGCAGTGGGTTAGTGATAGGACACCCACGAATCTACGTCAGGCTTCGTTCTAATACATTACCGGCTAATTATACCTTAATGTGACCGACCTTTCGGGAGGAAGTATATATCTTCCTTCATTGGCTGTTTTATGCCTAATATTGCTCTTTTACTTGTTATAAAGAATCCTTTGTCAGAATTATTTTTGCAACGAAACATTTTATAATTATTTTAATTTTTTTTTATTTTGAGGGTTTATGAGAAAAAAGTACAGATATACTCTCACCGGCACAAAAAACGGAAACCTTAAAATTTTGATGTAATTTAAAGTTTAACATATTTTGTTCCAGTGGGCCGATTTTGATGATTTTTTTTATTGGAGATATTCGCTTTTGAATAAGACAGTAACGATTTACAGCAATTTTAGCATTGCTTTGGGATCCTCCTTATCACACTTATAAAATAGTGTTTATAATTTTTGTAATCTCACTGTCATTAAAAAATCATATTATTATTATTATTAGTTTATCTAATGGAGATGGTTTTAAGTTCTAAACTATCGGCTATTGCTTTTTTAAATTTATCATGGCAGAGATGAATTTTTGGACATTGAACCACATCTGCGAGAGTAACTGCCTAACAGACAATAATATAATATGATTTTTCAAAGTGCCGCTCGAATGGCTTAAGTCATATCTTGGCAACAGAAGGCAGCTTGTGAGAATTGATACGTCTATGTCTTCTTGTAAGCCTATAGAATGTGGTGTCCCTCAGGGTTCAGTACTTGGCCCTATTTTGTTTCGGGTGTTTATCAACGACATTGCAAATCTAGACATTAGCGGTAAAATCTGCCTCATTGTGGACGATACTAGTTTGGCGCTTGGAGCGGCCCAGATGTTACGGCACTATATAATACTATATCCAGTGACTTACGCACGATTAAATCTTGGTGCGATTCTAATCTCCTATGCCATCAAAAACTAAAGTTTTGTCATATAAAAGTACTATACAACCTTTTGTACTTAATAACACCACTATTGACGTCGTGGACTCTGTGAAATTCCTAGGACTTGTTGTAGACAACTCGTTAAAATGGGACTTTCACATCAAAGCTCTATCAAAGAAATAAGCTCTGCCTGTTTTGCGCTAAGATCAGTTCCTAAGGAACTTAACTTATCAACCTCTAGAATAGCCTATTACGCCCTTTTTGAATCACATCTTCATTATGCCCTTCCATTCTGGGGTACTTGCTGCGCAACAAATTTTGAGCATATTTTCAGACTTCAAAAGAGAGCAGTTCGATATCTACTGGGACTGAACAGTAGAACTCACTACCAGAATTTTCTTCTTTATTCATTTTTGAATCCGTTTGCTTAATCTGCAACCGCATATCTGCTATCCCAAAAGGCCATCTCATAACTATCCACTCAGGAATGCGGAGCACGATCTTTATCTGCCAACCCCGAGCTCAGAACTAGTTAAAAGTTCAATACTGTACAATGCCCAAAAAATGTACAATCATCTGTTTTTGAATATCAAGTCGCTTTCATTCTTTCCCGCATTTTGCAAAGCTCTGAAATCATACTTACTGGAGAGAGCCCTATATACGGTGTTTATATGTTTAATCATGAACAATTTTGAATTTTAAAATTTTGATCATCTCACACACTGATCAAGGGTCAAATTTTTAATATTTTATAACTCTTAAGATTATTTACAATCTTCCTATTGTAAAATTTTATTGATGCGCCTTTTTTTGTGTTCTGCAATAATTATCCATGTATGTTCTATTCGTAATTTTGATGACTTAATTTTTTTTGAATTGTATGATTTGTATTGTGTATTTTTTATTATTTGAATGTTTTTTGTGCTTTTGTTTGTTGTGTAAATGCTTTGTCGACCAAGCTATTTTGGCTTTTTGCACAATAAAGACTTATTTATTATTATTATTTTATCGGTTTGTTGACCAGGACCAAAAGCAAGGGCATTGTTTTAATAAAAAAATACGAAAAAATGTTAGTGTCTTCTTTAAAAGAGAATATCTCTAAAAAAACTATACAGGAAAAATTGATATAGTAATTTTTAAATTAGACACATGGAATTATAAAAACAAAAAAAAAACAAATAGTTTCTGAAGAATAAAAATATTACAACTATGTTTCTAATGAAATATAAAAAAACTTGAAACTACAACTTACTCATATTTTTATTCAAAAAATAGAAATTTTTTTCATGTCTCTTTTTTCAACCTAATTTTCCTCTTCAAATAGTCGAATCATTTTAAACTTCAAATAGTCGAACATTTTTTTAAACAAGAAAAATATTGAATTAAAAATAAACTTTTAAAATCTACACTGTAGATGGTGCACCGTATCGGACGATAGGGCATTTGGCGCGCGTTTACCCTACGGCTGTAGAGTTTGTTGCGTGGGACCTGTCTGGACTAAAGCAAAGAAACTAACTGCCGGCGTTCTAGGAAAGAAGTGGGTTAGTGATAGGGCACCCACGAATCTACGTCAGGCTTCGTTCTAATACATTACCGGCTAATTATACCTTAATGTGACCGACCTTTCGGGAGGAATCTCCTCTAGCACTTTAGCTCGGTCTAAGAAGCATTTCATTGTCATGTTCCTAGCTGTAGTGTCGTGGCCAGGGAATTGCACCAAGACATATAACGATGCCGGACGGGGCTACCCCTGTCCGTCATACCAGGCACCCTCTACTGACTGTGGTCATGTCTCGCGGGTAGAGAATGTGGGGGGGGTCTTGGCTTAACCGCCTGGACCAAGAGGAGACAACCTCACCATAAACCTAAATCCTACGATGGCGGGACCAGGTCAAAGGGATGTGTGGCCAGATAGAGGACTAGCCATTACTGGTCTCAACATTGGGGCATCAGGGCGCACCCCATTGTATTTATCCCTTACTTCTGCATGCGGGGCCCTGTAGAAGTGGACCGACTATCCTTAGCGACTCGTGGGAACACTATGAGATCTAGTATTAAAAACACCACCGGTGAAGCTGTGGGGAAGCTCCCTAGCGACACTGGGAACATTACAAATGAAAGTTCCAAGGGACCAAATTCAAAGGAAACTACAGGCTGACACTTGCTTGGGATCATCCTCCACAAGTGGCACACAAGCTACCACCTTCTCCAGCAAGGGTCGGGAGCCTACCTCTAGACCCAATATGCTACCGTTTTTTGCCGATGAGCAAAGGGAAAGACACCACCTACCTGCTGAGCCTTATCCAAGGTCAGAACTTCAATGTAAGGACATCGAGTTGGCGAGTTATCAACTCGAAGGAGGAGGGTCATGGTCAGGTCCTCCCAATAGGAATTGACCTCAAATCCAAGGAGGCAATCGAGAAAGAGGGACATATCCTCTATTATAGATACGGGGCAACACCGGTATCAGGTCTAAAGAGAGATCAAGTTAAAGAGGTGGAGAAAATGGAGACAGATCCTCCAGCCTCCACCTCACGGGTTCCTCAGCCGGAGGCAAGCTCCTCGACTGTAAAGAGCGGCACGGAGGGCCAAACTCCAACCTTGGAAGGGTGTGTACCCTCGGAGGAAGAACTGTTGTCAAAAGAGGATAGGAAATACCCTTCCCCCTCTACAACAGTGGTATGATGGGTTATAGATTGTGTGATGACTCAAGGAAGGGGGGCACAATAGACCTTTAAGGTCGCAGTGATTAACCCCCACTCTTACTCATTCTACATTCTACATTCTACCCAAGGAAGAAGGCAAAGGGGTACACAAAAAGGTCGTGGAATATAATCATACAGGAGACAATGGTGTTCCGCAGCATAAACAAGGAGATGCTCTTAATCAAGAGGCATGGTGTCGGGAAACGGAAAAACAGCTGAGAATCTAGTGCACATAGGTGTGTCCATTTTTTGTAAGCTAAGTTCCATAGCAAAAAACAGTTTCGGTTGAACAACCAAAATCCAGTTTTTACCAGAACGTCGCGTCGTTGGATGTTGTTTCTCCATCACGCCTGTAGACGTTCTCTACTTCTTTTGACACTTTTACTATGTACTATTGAGACTTTAGTCCATTTAATGTGCTTCTGGTTAAGTGCTTCGGCTAATTCAACTTCAGTCTTGCTATTTGTTAAACAAAGTAGCTGATTCCAGTTCTCTTTTTTTGTATATTTTCCTCTGTTGCTTTTTAACAGGTTCGGAAACGATTGACGTTGCTGTTTTTGAGTGCCATGACGACTTAGCGTCGATTTTTACTGGAAAAATAAATACATTATGTATTTTTTCTCCTCGATTAATAGAGATGATTCGTTAGCGGAAGGCGTACAGCCAGAGTTTTTCAAATTCCATTTATGCATAAGGCTATTTTTTTCGAATTATCTCTGTTCTCTGAATAACTTTGCCATGTTTGATATCTCATAAATAATATTGGATATTTACTATTGAGTTCTTTGAATGTTCAATATCCATTTATTTTTTTTATGGAATGGTCAGTGATGTGCTAAATATTCTAATTGAATTGTTGAAGCTATTCGTGTTGTTTACATAATCCCTAAAAATAGACACATGGAATTAGAAGAAAAAAACATATCAAGACCTTTTTGAAGAGTAAAAATAATACAAAATAGGCTGTTTCTAATAAAATATAAGGGAAATCGAATATATTGCGTAAAACAACAATGCATAACAATATGAATATTTTCCTGTCCCTTTTTTCAACTTAATTTTCCTAAAAAGCTAATAGTCTGTAATAATAATCTAGAGTTAGGTAAAAACTATGTTTAAATACAAAAATAAATTAATATTATGATTTAAATTAACGTTTAA